TTCATACATATATACATACATATATACACATATACATACATATATACATACACATATATATACACATATATATACATACATGCACATACATGCACATACATACATATACATACATGTGCACATATACATACACATATATATGTATACATACATATACATACACACACGCATGAGCACACACACACATATATATGTGGACAGTGAGATAGCTCAACAGATAAATGCTGGCCATACAAGTCTGAACCTGTAGCAGTAAAGAATCAATTCCCCAAAGTTGTCCTTCATCCTCTACTCACACACCATGGCACACAAACACACACACAACACCAACAACAACAGTAACAGTTAATAAAATAAAATGTTAAATCCAAGGGCTGGGGTGTAGTTCAATGCTGGAGGGCTTGCCAAGAGTGATCAAGACCTTGGATTTATCCCCAGCACTGAAAGAAAGCAAAAGCCAGCTTCACGGGTGGGGTGTGAAATCTTGTCACCGTGAGAGTGGGCAGGCTACGCCCGAGGCAGGTCCTTCCAGCCGGAGGGAACAGGCTCCAGCGGGGAGGCCTGTGTGGACTCCCGAAGCCAGGGAGAGGGACAGAGGGAAAACCACAGCCATGATCACGGGAGAGGGGCTCTGCTTGGATCTTGGCATTTGCTCCAAGCAAGATTAAGAGCTGGGAAGGGAATGGAGAAGACGGGGGCACAGCTGTCCCATCATCACCTGAGTCTAGTGTGTCTGCAAATGACGCAGCCCAGACCGAAGGGAGAGACTCTGGTCTGCTCTCTCAGAACAGGACAACAGTGAGACCTGGGCCAGCCAAAGCACCGAGGACCACGTCCCATGTACCGCGTCCCACGTACCGCGTGTACTTTTGAAGGGTCATCGAGTTCTAGCCTCGCCACCACGCAGCCAGCCTCCAGTATGACGCCCGGCCGCTTGACGTACTTCACCCGGCCGCTCTCCTGCACATTCAGGGTCATGATCATTTTCATCACCTGTTTGCCAGAAAGGATAGGTCAGAGTTCTCCGGGGCCGGCACCAAGAGTCACCGGAAGCTAGTGGCTGTGAAGCAGGGGGATTGCATCATGTTGATAGCAAATCTCTTGGCGGCACTCACGCATAAGACAAGGAACCTGTCATTTCTCCCAGCCTGCTGTGCACCAAGCATGGTCACCATCCAGGCATGGACTCTGTCCACAAGGCCAGCCAGGGAGCAGGGTGTGCGTGCCGCCCATTTCACGGACTCAGAAACCGCTTTAACCTTTTCCATTTGTGGGGCTGGGGGCAGAATCTGGGTCTCATGCATGCTAGCTAAATGCTCTACCGCTGAGCTGCTGCTACAGACCTCTCCTATTTTCAAAGGCAGCCCTCTGTCACGTGACTCTAAGACCGATGACTCTGAGATCGATAACCTCGTGACGCCACAGCCATGCCTGAGCTGTCGTGCGTTTGTGGCGATGCTGGTGTGAATGAGCTGTGGCACTACCTGTCTGGTGAAGTGAGTGCAGCACACACTTAACGCTGAGACACTGTAGGTCACGTCATGGCAGCAGCCACCTGCATCCCATGCTTAGAGCTCATGTCACACCTCAAGTGACTGACACCTTCCAGGTCTGTGCAAATATGCTATGCAATGTCCACAGGACAAAGAAGTTGTCCGGAACATATTTGGGACATATTTCTCAGAACATGTCTGTGACGTTTCCTATATGCTTGACCCAGGGAGTGGTACTGTTGGGAGGTGTGGTCTTGTTGGAGTGGGTGTGGCCTTGTGCGAGGGGGCGTGTCACTGTGGGTGTGGGCTTTAAGACTCTCATCCTAGCTGCCTGGAAGCCAGTATTCTCCTAGCAGCCTTCAGATGAAGCTGTAGAACTCTCAGCTCCTCCTGCACCATGCCTGCCTGGATGCTGCCATGTTCCTGGCTTGATGATAATGGACTGAACCTCTGAACCTGTAAGCCAGCCCCAATTAAATGTTGTCCTAAGACTTGCCTTGGTCATGGTGTCTGTTCACAGCAGTAAAGCCTTAACTGAGACCACGTCCCATTGCTGAACAACACGCTGCCCTAGGCCGCCCTCCCCACCCCCAGCTGTATAAAGCAGACAGTGAACCCATGCCCATGGTTAAGGGCATGCCCCAGAGAGTGCTTTGGAAAAGGAAGCTCCTGCCTGAGGTCTATCCTGCAACCCATTTGCCTGACCCGGTGTCTAAAGATGCCTAAGACATGGGATTTGTGATCATGGTACCAACTGCGGAGCCACAGGACTATGCTGCTCCTTGCTCAGCTGTCCCTGTGCCCAAGAACCCTGTCCGTCACCTCTGTGAATTCCAAACACTGCCTTTGTCTCTGAGCCTTGGTGTCCCTCTGTAAAATGGCGGCTAGGCCTCTCCCTCACAGAGAATAACTGAGGTGAAGAACCCGGCCTGCACAGGAAGGCAGTCCTCCATACCAGCCATTCTGTTTTCTCACAGCGGAGAGCCGACGCCAGGCGTGAAGCTTGGCTCTGGGTGCTCTCGAGCAAGATCCTCAGCTCACCCTCCTGCGTCTGATTTCTTCGTGCATATAACAGGAATCACGTGTGTGCCCGCCTCAGGAACTTGCGGATGTTATAAACGACAGGGCTGGGGTGTGGCTCAGTGCTATAACACTTGCCTGGCATGCTTTAGGTCTTAGGGTCCATCAGCAGCACAGTAATGTAATATATGTATATGATGTATACATATGCACACACATATATATGTATATATAGGTGTATATATACATGTGTACAGATATATATATATATATATATATTGTTTTTTGCTTTTTTTTGTTTTTTTTTTTTTTTTGGTTTTTCGAGACAGGGTTTCTCTGTGTAGCCCTGGCTGTCCTGGAACTCACTCTGTAGACCAGGGTAGCCTCGAACTCAGAAATCTGCCTGCCTCTGCTTCCCAAGTGCTGGGATTAAAGGCGTGCGCCACCACTGTCCAGCTATATATATTTGTTTTTGTTTTTTGTTTTGTTTTGTCTTTTGTTTTTTGAGACAAGATTTCTCTGTGTATTCCTGGTTGTTTCCAGAACTCATTCCGTAGACCAGGCTGGCCCAGAACTCAAGAGATCCTCCTGAGTGCTCGGACTAAAGGCGTGTGACACCACCACCTGGCGCCAAGCAGTTCTTGCTCCTTCCCAGGAGATGTGCGATATCTCAGCTCCTTTAAAAGAATTCTTTGGATATCACAAGGAGTTCGGGTGAACCTCAGAAGCCTAGGAGTGCGCCAAGGCCCATTGGCTGAGGGACGGGGTTTCAGACCCACAGCCCCAGGGCAGGCTCTGCGCTCACCTCCATCTCGGCGTAGCTGCTCCCAGCTTCCACATGGTCTCCGTCCTCCACCGTGTACTGCATCAGCTTCCCAGCCGAGGGCGATCTCAGGACAGTGGGGTCGTTTTCCTTTTCAAACACGCACGTCTTATTGCCGATAGTGATCCGGTAACTACGGGAGGGGGCGGGGATGTGGGAGCTGGATGAGGCCCAGCAAGGGCGCCAGACTTTAGGGGAATCTCCCCTTTCCAGGGCGGGCATTTCCGTCACCCTCCGTGAGGCATGGGGCCTTTATTTCTTCTGGCTGAAAATTGATTTCTATTACTAACGTAATCCTCCCAGGCCCTGCCACAAGGAAATCGATCCATCGATAAATCAATCAATTCTATTCAATAACTCTTAACTGATTCCCCGCGCACGCACACACACACCCCTCCCACATACAGACACTTTGTTCTCTTTAGTGAAGGCCTGGATGGCCTCCTATGCCTGGATCATCCATGTACCACTGTGACTTCAGCATGGTCAGGCAAATGGGAGCTGGAGGTATCTGGACCCATCATGCAATGCTCCACGCCTACACCTTGCAGCATCCAGCATCCTCCCACCCATCTTCCTGCCCCGATGCATCACCTCCTGCAATAGGGCGGAAGCCCAGGAGTGGTGACGTCAGTGTCCTCTCATCCCTAGCTGAGCACGCTGCTGACAGTAGCTCAGTGACCAGCCGCTGGATCCTGCATCTGTTCCACGCCCACCCTCCAGGGCTGTGGGCCCTGCAGCTCAGACCAGGAGCAGCTGCCACCTCTTCACTCAGCCCGCAGATGATGGAGCTGGTTGCTATGTCCTGTTTGGCTCTAAATTCTCTGGTAACCATAAAGGCGTTGCCTGGGGTCCCTTACCCTCCGATTCTTGCCAGGTGCATGGATTTCCAGCCGTGCACCCTCTCCAGATGCCCCACAGTGAACCAGAGAACCCCAGACCTACACAGAGGCCAGCTTTGCATTTCACCTCCCACAGAAAGATCTGCGCATGCTCCACGCTGCCCGGGCCATGGCCGCCGCCTTCATTCACCTGTCCACCTCTTCCTTCATGTACGTGGTGTAACTGCTGCCATTGTAGGATAGGAGCAGACCCCCGTCGTTCAGCCGGTGGGCATCGATCTCGATGTGGCAGCCGTTCATGATGAGGACGAACATCGTCAGGGACTGCCGGGCCACCTATGGGGACAGGCTCACATCAGAATCCCCATGAGGGTGACAAATGGGCTAACAGTCTACTCCTGCCCGGGGTGTGGACGAAGGCTCCAGGCTGCAGATATAGCACCCGTGCGTCGCTGTGGCTGGTGGGGTACTGCAGCTTGTACGCTGGGTGGGGCGTCTTGTGGAAGCGTCATCAGGGACCTGGTCCACTAAAACTGTGCGTGCCTCCGACATCCCAATGCCGAAACCAAGCCTCACAGGAGATCTTACTAGGAAGTGGGCTCACTGGCTCAGATACATGCGTCACGAGAGCGGTTGTGAGATGACACAGCGGCAAAGGCGTTTGTCATCAAGACTGAGAAGCTGAATTTGATCCCTGGGACCCACGTGGCGGGAAGAGAATCAACTCTTGAAGGCTGCTTTTCACACACATACACACACACACATACCAAACACATACACACACATGTGTCATGGCACACACACACACACACACATGAATAAATAAATTCAATTTAAAACAATTTTTTTTTTCGTTTTTCAAGACTGGATTTCTCTGTGTAGCCCTGGCTGTCTCCGAACTCCCTCTGTGGACCAGGTTGGCCTTCTGAACTCACAGAGATCCACTTGCCTCTGCTTCCCAAGTGCTGGGATTAAAGGCGTGCGCCACCACTGCCCGGCTTCAGTTTAAAATTTTCAAAGGGACTCCAAAGAGTTCCCTTGCCTTCGTCTACCACATGAAGACACACAACAAAAGAAGGTACCCACTAGAGACCAGGAAACGGGTCCTCAGAAGATACCGAATTGACCCATGCCATGACCCTAGATGTCCTGGCCTCTGGAACTGTGAGCAGTCCTACTGCTGTTAACAAGACACTGCCCTATGGTATTTTGTTATAAAACCCTGAATAAACAGAGACACCTGAACATGGAGTGAGGCTTACCAGAGGTCTGGGACAGTAAGCGCTGCCCAGGGGCGCCGAGGCATGCGCAGTGAGCTCTGTCCAGGAGGGAAGCATGCGCAGTGAGCCCTGCCCAGGCTCTGCCCTTCCATCCCAATGAAATAGCAGCCCGAGGCTTACCCTCACGCACGTATCTTCATAACATACACATGTATTACGTCACACATTCACAAATGATTTGGGATAAAAGACAGGGAGACGTGGGTTTCAGCATTCTTTGGGTTCCACTCAAAATTCCTCCTCTATACTCAGACTGTTTAGGATTCCAGGCCGTGGACTACACAGCGAGTCCTGAAGGTCACACTGCTCAGACCGCACTCGACGCCCGGTTCACAGAAGAAATGAAACAAGTCCCCGTCAGGCTCAACACGGCGGGGATTTCTGAGACGCACCGGCCCTTACCTTGAGGACATACTTGACGCCTCCGTAAATCAACTCAACGTCCACAATGTTCAGCAGAGAGTCAGCCGGGAGGACCTGGCCCCTGAAGGAAAAGCCGTGCCTGCCGTCAGTTCCGCGTTTAATTCCCAGCACCCACATGGCGGCTCAGAACTGTCTATAACTCCAGTTCCAGAGGATCCAGCACCCTCACACATCCATATATGCAGGTAAAACAGCAGTCAATGATATAAACCAAAAATAAGTAAATCATTAATAAATATGTGTGTATTTATAAATGAGGTAAAAAAAAAAAATCCAGTCTGTGGCCTGCCACCCGCTAGCGCATGAGCTGTCTGTCACTCAAGGTGATAAGAGACCACTACTGTTATTTTCTCTCTCATGCTTTTTGTAGGGACATTTTTGTCTTTCATTTGTCACGGCACTTCTCAAGAGAGGGCTATTTGTCCATATTGCTGGGACACTCGGGGAACGGCCTCCCTTGGCATCTGATAGGCAGGAGACATAAATTCTGCTGTCACCCTACAGTACACAGGACAGTCCTGTCAAACGATGATCCAAGAGGAAGCCACCTGGCCAGCTTCACCCATGGGCCCTCCAGAACCACAAGCCTCTCTACACCCCACCGTCAGTCTCTCCCAAGCAGTGTGAATGAAGGCCACAGGAGAGGCATCCCAGCTCGGTGGTGACTGACCCGCCCTCAAAGCCCACCACCTAGCATGGTGACACTCAGGAGGCTGAGGCAGGAGGATCGATTTTGATGGGCTACATCCTAAGAGTCATCTCCGAACAATAGCAACAACAAAAGCCCCATTCTGCCTTCCAGACACCACACACACAGCGCAGGAGGGGAACCGGCCCATTCTTACCTCTCCAGGGAGTGCAAGAATTCCGTCATGCAGGTTCTGAACATCGCGTCTGCCACGTTCAAGGCCCCACACACCACCCCCAGCATGATGTCCGGCTTCTCTGCCTAGGAAAGACTCCAGGTCTCAGTATCTGTGGGAAACACACCCCACTCCACCCCTGGGAGAGGAGGGAGGCAAAGCAGCCTCTCACCTGCACCCGCTGAGCGATCAGGTGGTCCAGCCACCCTGTGTCGATATCGTTGTTCTGGAAGCTCTCCGTCTCCAGAAGGTTAACGAGATATTCCACAGTGGTCCGGAAGTCACCCCGGATGGACAGTTCCTTCAGAGCCACCACCATGTTCCTGGAGAGACAGGGGACTGGTTTCTACACTTACTCCCACAGTTCCTGGGAAGTCTGTGATCTGTTTCCTTCCCCATCACCAAAGCATCTGAGAGCACGGGAGGCATGTGGAATGGCTGAGTGACTTCACTTGAGTAACTTAACGACTCAGGGCCTCAGTTACCTCATCTGAAAAATGGGCTGATGACCCTGCCACGTGGGGTACTTGGGGGTTAAAAGAGATGTGCCGTATAATGTAGTTGCAGTCAACAGGCCCCAGAGTTTAGATCATCCTGATATGTCATGATCCATAGAGGGGGTGGGGCCTCTCTAACTGAGCACAAGTTCTGTCTCCCCTTGGTCTATTCGAATCTCCTGTCTCATAAAAGCTACTTCTGCCTGTCCCCCCGGCTGTCCTGTCCCCATGTGTCTGTGGGTGAAGCCTACTCCTGGAGAGGAAGCTCCAACCCCTGACAGCATCCTCATAAGCCAATAACAGCTATGGGCAAAGACAGTAAAACACACGGGGAGGTCAAACGAAGGTGTCAACTGGCCACAGGTCAGTCTCGGGTCCTAAATCTGTTTGTGACTCAGCCATGCAACTGAGGAAGACGGACTGTCACAGAAGGCTTAACTGCAGCACTGATCTGGAGCCAATCACAGAGTCTGGCAAGCGCCTTCCTCAGCCAGACTCTGACAGCAGTAAAAGCTGGAGTTTCTAAGTCTGTAGCAGCTGCAGATGGTGCCACAGTCTGAGCCTCCAGGCTTTTGCTTGGAGCAGGCCGGGCCCATTTCCTCACTAGGCCCACTTCCTCCTAACTAAGTCTCATTTGCTGCTCAAAAATCCTGCCACTCTCTCTGAGGACCTCAGTTCACCACAGAACATGATTAAAATGAATTCGTCTAAGTGGACCGAGGGACACCGCCATCAAAACTGTCAAACTCAACTAAATTAATTCACGGTTAAACTGCCAGACCAGAGTCTAACGCTTTTTAAATGAAATAGTCCCGATGCCTTTGGACTCCTTACGCTCTGAAGAATGGTTACCTGCCCGCACGGGATGTCTACTTTACAACAAAGTGGATTTTTACCTTCCTGGGCCCATGTTGAGGCAGGGAGATGTTCAGAGAAGAGACAAGGGGAGTACCTGGGTAATTAAATCTCAGTCTGCAGTAACTGTGACAGGATTTGGCTAAGCAGGGATCACGGGCCACGTCACAAGCTTGGGGTAGAGAACAGGGAGCACCAGGAACCCCAGAAGAAACTGAGTCATGAAGTGAAGATGGTGTGGAAACTGCTTATGGGGTGTCAAAGGTGCCCCTGCCCTCTCCTGAGTACTTGACACCCTTTAGACACACCTTTGAATGGTTTGGGGATTGTGTGGGTCACAGGAGTGTGTGTGTGTGTGTGCAGCTGCATGTACACCATTGAAAGTGTGTAGGTCAAAGCTTGGCAGTGGTGGTCCATGCCTTTAATCCCAGCACTTGGGAGGCAGAGGCAGGCGGATTTCTGAGTTCGAGAGTTCGAGGCTAGCCTGGTCTACAGAGTAAGTTCCAGGACAGCCAGGGCTACACAGAGAAACCCTGTCCCGAAAAACCAAACCAAAAAAAAAAAAAAAAAAAATGTGTAGGTCAAAGGAGTGTGTGTGTGTGTGTGTGTGTGTGTGTGTGTAGATGCATGCACCTGCAGCTCCCTTGTGGGATCTGCGGTCAAACTCAGAAGGTCAGGCCTGTACACTTCTGAATGTTTCTCAAAACAGGCAGGGTTGGAGGGAAGGAAGGAAAGGGGAAAGGGAAGAGAAGGGAACCGGAGATACTGACGAAATGGCCTCTTCGCGGTTCTCGCCCCAGGAGAAGCAGTGCCCAAACTGGGAATCGGCGAACTCGTGCAAGCCCCCAGCCGCGGCCACGCTGAAGTAACCCCACACGTTCTTGTTGCTGCGGAAGTTCAGCTCCTGCACTGTCCCCGAGCTTGGCTTAAAGCCCTGGAGCCCAGACAGAGGAGAAAGTAACAGAAGCCATTTCTGTGAGCACTTGGCTAGGGAGATAAACCAGTCCACAAATAGCATTGACTTCTCAAGCAGAAGGACCTGGGTTCGATCCCCACAACACTCACAGACTGGACATTTTCATTGGTAAAAATTTAAGCAGAGTGAAAAGGACACTCAGTGGTTAGCACTGCCCACTTCTACAGAGACCCTGGATTTGGCTTCCAGGACCAACACGGTGGTTCATATATACATGTGACTCCAGTCCAGGGCATCTGACACCCTCTTTTGGTCTCCTCGGGTACCAGGCCACATTATGATGCACACACATGCAGGCAGGTAAAACACTCATACACACCAAATAAAAACATATATATGCATATACATGTACATGTATATGTATATATATATATTAATTTTAAGTAAGCTAAGAAGCTAGGTATGGTAGCACATGCCTTTAATACCAGCACTCAGGAGGCAGAGGCGTGTGTGTGTGTGTGTGTGTGTGTGTAAGTCACACTGTACTAGGAAAGCACGGAGCCTCACAAGTTGTCTTCTGACCTCTGTGTGCTCACTGCGGTTCCTATGCACACAGACAACTAATATTTAAAAAGTACAACTTTTAAAAATGGCAGTGTGGGGCTGGCATGCGGCTGAACACCCACCCTGCCGTCCGTCACAGCTGGGGTTTGGTTTCCAGTCAAAGATCTGAACGAGAAAAATGGGGGCTCACCCCAAGTTCCTTGAACACAGTGAGATTAAAACGTCATATGGTGATACACAAGAAGGAAACATCACGATTCCAGACTTGCAGGCCCAGTTAAAAATATCTTTGAAGTTGGGTGTGATGGCACATGCCTTTAATCCCAGCATTCAGGAGGCAGAACTGGGCAGATCTCTGTGAGTTTGAGGCCAGAGTTATTATGCAAAGGTCTTGTCTCAAGCACATATACACACACACACATACACACACACAAATCTTTGATTAAAAAAAAAGCACAAAGGTCTGGAGAGATGGCTCAGTGGTTAAAAGCACTGGCTGCTCTTCCAGAGGTCCTGAGTTCAATTCCCAGCAACCACATGATGGCTCACAACCATCTGTAATGCGATCCAATTCCCTCTTCTGGTGTGTCTGAAGACAGCTACAGTGTACTTTAAAAACAAACAAACAACAACAAACAAACCCAACCCCCCCCCACACACACACACGGAAACCAGAGGAGACTGGTGAGCCCCAGAACATCAAGGGGTCAAAGGTGTGAAAGCAATGAAGTCAAATTGTTTTTAAGGGGCTGGTGAGATGGCTCAGTGGTTAAGAGCACTGACTGCTCTTCCAGAGGTCATGAGTTCAAATCCCAGCAACCACATGGTGGCTCACAACCATCTGCAATGAGATCTGATGCCCTCTTGTGGGGTGTCTGAAGACAGCTACAGTGTACTTATAATAAATAAATAAATAAAGTTAAAAAAATAAAAATAAAAAAAAAAAAAATAAAAAACAAATTGTTTTTAAGACCCCAAGAACAAGCCTCAAGGGGACCTCCCAGAAGCTCCCTAAAAGGCAGGACTATGGCAAAAAAGCACAGAAACCCCAGAACCCGGCTTCAAATCTGGCTACACACACCAAAGATGGAAACCGTGTGGAGAGTCGGGAGCGGCTCACCTGACCCCAGCAGGATGGAATATGACCACCACCCAGGGAGGTCATGGGAGTGAGGGGCTGCATGAAACGTCTTGCTGAAGCCCAAAGCCATCCCACATAGCTTCCACCCAGAGTTTCTTGTGTAAAAGTGGAGAATTCTGGGTACCAGCATACCCACACCAAGGACCAGGGCCCACCCTTCACTGCGAGTCTGCAGTCGGTGGAAACACAGGAACCCACACTTGCCTCGTCTGGGTTTTCGCTGGTGATCCTGGCTGCGATGACGTGGCCTCGGGCAATGGGAGGGCTCAAGGGGGTCTCAAAAGGAATGGGGGTCACTCCCCAGGGGGACTCTCCATACAGAAGCCGTATGTCCTTCAGCCGGTGCAGGGGCACACCCATGGCGATCTAAGGAAAAACCCATCCCGCAGGTCAGTGTGCTAGGAATCTGGCCCTGAGACACAGAGAGCAGCAGTAGATACAAAGAAAGGGCTCAGTCAACACTTCCAGATATACTGAGCCTAGGACATCTAGACAGTGCTGTGTACAGGGGAACAGGAGAGGAGAGAAAGAAAGTTAGCTGATCCTGGTATCACACACTTGAAGTCCAGTACTACTTAGGAGGCTGAGGCAGGAGGAGCACAAGTTCCAGGCCACGCTGGGATAGCCTGGGGGCAGGCACAAGGGAAGACTCAATTCGTGTGTGGAGAATCATGCCGGGAGAAGCTCCACCATTAAGTCTGAGGCTAGCCTCTTGGAGCTACAGAGAGAAGCCACAGGGCTGGCTGGACAGTCACAGCGGCTTCGTGAAAGCATCAAGAAAAGCCGAGGAAGAAATAATTGAGCAAATCCAAACTGATGGACATTCAGCCTGAATGCTCAAAAACACCGATTTTGGGCCAGTGAGATGGCTCGACAGATATAGGTGACCGCTGTCAAGCCCGACAACCTGAGTTCAATTCTCAGGACCCACGTGGATTTGTTCAATTTCTTTCTGGTTCGGTTCACATTAAGTATTTTTGCAGACTATTCCGGCGTCCTTTTGAGATACCGAGTTCCACCATGTACTTAAGTGGAGGCCGTGAGAAACTACAAAACATCTTCTGACACGGCGTGACATGTTCACACTCACACGACACGCTTGGGGCCCGTTTCTCAGGTCCTCACCTGCAACTGTGCAGCGGGCAGGTTGACATCAGCGATCATCTCAGTGCACGGGTGCTCCACCTGCAGGCGTGGGTTCAGCTCCAAGAAGTGGAAGCTGCCATCCTGGCTGTACAGATATTCCACAGTCCCCGCGCTCACATAACCCACGGTCTTGGCTAGGAGGACAGCACACTGCAGAGACAGAGCCCAGCGGCTCTCTCAGGTCATTATGAATGCCAGCACCTGTTCCCTCCCCGGGGCACGCTGAGGACCTGCCACGTGGGACCAGACACATCTGAGCGATGCAGAGATCACCACCCGCCATGGGCTCCGTCACGCCCACACCTTTGCCACGCCCACACCTTTGCCACGGTGGCTGTAGCTAGCTCTGCCGAGCTCTGCTGAGCTACCCCCAGGCCCACTCTGCCAAAGGCACCTGTTCCATGAACTCAAACACAGCGGGAGCGGCGATGGTGGCCGGAGCCTCCTCGATGATCTTCTGGTGCCGCCTCTGGATGGAGCAGTCTCGTCCGAACAGTGACACGGCGTTTCCATACTGATCTGCCAAGACCTGGACCTCCAGGTGCCGTGCGTTCTGGGCCAGCTTCATGAGAAAGATCGGCGAGCCCGGGATCTCACTCTGCACCTGTCCGGGAGGCATAGGTGGTGTCGGATCAGAGAGGATCCGGCTCTGGAAGCTTCTGGAAGTTAAATAATAGCCGTGATATGGGCAGGGGCTACCCCCATGCTCCATTCCCTCCCCAATTTCGTTTTAAAGTCAAACACTGTAAAAAAAAAAAAGGGGGGGGGAGGCACTATTTCCCATATGCTACATGACATACTATGTTCATATCCTGTTTGGTTCCTGAAATCTCAGCACCCAAGGGGCTGAAGCAGGAAGACTGTTCTAAGTTTAGGGCCAGCCTGGGCTACACGAGGAATACAAGACGAGCCTTAGCTATACAAAAAGTTCAAGGCCAATCTGAGCTGCACAGCAAACAGGAAAACAAAGCACAGAACCCGGCTGAGTTTAGTTTTCTGGGGGTGTTAGCAGCGTGGTATAGAATTGTGTTATGCACTTGACGCTCTTCCCAAACGCACACAAGCACGTGAGGTGACCTGTCTGTAAACTGATTTGGCCCAGGGAATATATGCAGGACAGAACGTCACAATGAACAGCTTAAATATATATAGCTTTATCTGTCTAATATAGGTACCCAGAGGGGTGTAGTAGGGGTGCAAGCTACTTTTCTTCTGCACATCCTGTAGCACATAGAACACTTCTTTAGACAAAACCTGGGTGAAGAGAGATGGAACCATCCCTGCTGCTGTTCAAAGTTTCTAGATGCTCTCCCTGAGGGTCTGCTCAGCTCGGCAGGCACAGCAAGGCAGAGGAACCGCCACCAGGATACGGCACTCACACATACTCAGAGGACTAAAACAGGAAACCCTTTCTAGAAAGCTCTCAAAGTGTATTGTCAGGGTGTACAACGTGCACGCGCTTAACTGAGACCCTCTCCAGGGAGCTTCTGTTGGTGTCAGAGTCTTGCTGTACCTCTAGCTGGCCTTGGGCTATGTGGACTAGTGCAGCCTGTGCCTATGCTTCTAACTCCAGTTCCAGGCCCTCTGCTGGTCTCTGTGGGCACCGGCAGGCACTTGGTGTATAGACATGCTAGGACACAAAACACCCCTTGTGATGGTTTGTCTAAGCTCAGCCCAGGGAGGGGCACTATTAAAAAGTGTGGCCTTGTTGGAGGAGGTGTGGCCTTGCTGGAGGAGGTGTGGCCTTATTGGAGTAGGTGTGGCCTTGTTGAAGGAGGTATGGCCTTGTTGGAGGAGTGGCTTTATTGGAGTGGGTGTGGCCTTCTTGAAGGAGGTGTGGCCTTGTTGGAGGAGGTGTGGCCTTGTTGGAGGAGGTGTGACCTTGTTGGAGGAGGTGTGTCACTGTGGGTGTGGGCTTTAAGACCCTCATCCTAGCTGCCTGGAAGTCAGTCTTCTCCTAGCAGCCTTCAGATGAAGCTGTAAAACTCTCAGCTCCTGCTGCACCATGCCTGCCTGGATGCTGCCATGTTCCTGCCTTGATGATAATGGACTGAACCTCTGAACCTGTAAGTCAGCCCCAGTTAAGTATTGCCCTTATAAGAGTTGCCTTGGTCATGGTGTCTGTTCACAGCAGTAAAACACTTAAGACATCTCTTACACTTAAAAAAAAAAAAAAAACTTATGGGGGAAAAAAACAAAAAAAAGAGTTGTGGTTATCTTAAGCAACATAAAACCCTTCTCCTAAACGTGGCGGGGGAGGGGGGAGGGGAGAATTCGAAGCCAAAGGGTGAGCCGTAGCTCACCGGTACAGTGCTCGCTTAGCACCCACAAGTCATCTCCTGCACCCCACACTGGAAAAAGAAGGCCAATCAGTACAAGTCAGACACTCTTATGGACTCGCGGCCTCAGAGTACCAGGCTCGAGCACATCTCGGAGCCGTAGAGAAAAGCAAGCAAAAACAGAGGCCACGCCCACAGGAAAACTGAGCCTCTAGACACTTAAAAACGAACCCCAAAATACCCTGTGCAAATAGGAGACCATTTTGCCATTTCGGAGACACCCTGAGGTACAGACCCACCCATCTGAAGAAAGGCTGCGAAGGTCAGCGGGGGCTGTGGGCTTGTGAGCAGCGATGTGTCCGTCTGCTTCAGAATACACAAGGTGGGTGTGCGGCTCACTGGCAGAGAGCATGCCTAGAAGGTGAGAGACCTTGTGTCCCACCCCAGCACCACCCTCCAAAAAAATGAGCTGGGGAGGTGGCTCAGTGGTATGGGGAACTGAGTTCAAATCCCAGAACCCACATAAGCAGTAGTGCACTTGTCTGTAATCCCGGGACGGGAGGACACCTGGAAGTCCTCACATTCATAGGCAACTAGCCCAGTGCACACAGCAGCAAAAACAGTAAGAGACCCTGTCCCGAACAGACAGAGGACCAGCAACTGAGGGTGTCCAGTCGCTGGCTTTGGCTATTTTGTGGGTGATTCTTTCTTACACCCTTCTCCACCCTTTTCTCACCCTTCCAACCCCCTAACATGAGATAAGAGAGGAAGAGACTCTGAATAAAGTCCGGGTCAGAAAAGGGGTGACATTATTGTTAGACTACTTCTTGCTGATTCGGGGCATTGAGATTCTTGGGGTAAGTTTGATCTTCACTGTCAGGATATCTGATTTCTTGTAATTTCTTCTTCCCAGTCGACGACTTAACAAAAGGCAACAAACAAACAACAACTCTACCATTTATAGACCCTCTGAAAAGTTCCCAGAATCCCAAACATCACACAAGCACTATCTGCAGCTGGTAAAATCACGCCTCTGCTAGAGCACGAGACAAATCCTAGTCAGCTGCTGCGGACAGTCTGAAGCAGCCCTGTATCCCACACCTGGGACTAACATGAAAACATATCCTTATAATATTTCTCTGTTTTTTAAAAGAAATCAAAACTCTCACTACAGTACATATACACATACACACATGCACACACACACTCAAACTCACACACACACTCGCACACACACACTCAAATTCGCATACTCACACACTCTCTCACACATATGCACACACACACACTCAAAGTCACACACACAACAAACAAACAACAAAAACCAGCTATAAACCTAGCTCCTGCAAATGTGGTCCTGGGTTTAGGGGACGTTGCCAAGCAAAACCATCAGCCAAGAATGGACGGAAGCAACCCCAAAGATGGGGAAGGCAGGGCAGGAAGCACTCACTTGTCGGAAAAGCATCGGGAAGTCCTCTGCACTCTCGGCCTTGCGGATTCCTTTCCCTCCTCCGCCTTCGGAGGCTTTGATCATCAAAGGAAATCCTACTTTTTCTGCTGCCTGAGAAAAAAGGACAGACAGACCCCTTTAAAGATGGGACAAAGTCCAACACCAGGGAGCAGGGAAGCTTGTCTCACACTGGCCTCCAGTTACCACGCAGACCCCACACATCTGCTGCTACCTGCAGGCCTTCATCCACATCTTTCACACAGCCCTGCTCATAAACATCTTCCGGGACGCTGATGCATTTGCCCTGATGCTGGCTGTCCTCTGTCCACTCCACTGTGAGACCTGAGGGGACAAAGAGAGGTGTGTCCTCCTCAGGGCAGCAGGAACACAGCCCAGTGGGCACACCCAAGTGTCTCAGGACCCTGAATGGAAGTCAATGCTTAAGACACATAGGTTACAAACTCTGGCTATTCCTCCAGGAGACCTGGGTTCCCATTCCAGCACCCAAGTCAGGCAGCGCCCAGCAGTCTCTAACTTCAGCTCCAAAGGGTCTGACAGCCTCATGTTGCCTCTGCAGGCACTGCACACACCACACACACTGAGACACATACACACACACTCTCACATACAGACACAAGCACACACATAGACACATAGACACACTCCCATATACAGACACATGCACACATACAGACACAAGCACACAGGCATACACACTCACACATATAGACACAAGCACACAGATAGACACATACAGACACTGTCACATACAGATACATTCACACACAGACACATACATACACAAACAGACACACACACACACACAGGAGACACAGACATATGAACACACACAGACACACATACCTACATACATATACTCACATACATGCACACACCACACGGACACACACTCACACACATGCACACATACTCATACACTCACTCACACAGACATGTGCACATACATGTTCACACACAGACACACACACTACTAACTTTAAAAATCTTTAAAACACACACACAGAGAAAGAGCGGCCTGGATCTGGACAGTGTCCCTATCTACCCTAGGGAGTCACTTCTCGGGTCCCCAGTTTCCAAAACAATATGAAGATTTAACTAACTTTCTATACTGGGAAATTGTTACACTTTAGAGGAAAAGTATCACACTAAGTAGCAAAACCTTGAAGCTCTTTGCTTTTGTTTTGCTATCTGCCCTAGAAGTTCTACTTTGGGGGTTTATTCAAAGATGATTAAAATGGCAGGTATTTGGCCCACTTGAAATGAATTAGGAGATGGCCTAACTTGTAAAACTGCAGAGGATAATGAAACAAATCACAGCATAGCCACATGATAAACTCCAGCACAGGCTCCAGTGGTGGGGTGCGAGCCTGTGACCCAGATCTTCAGGAGGCTGAAGCAGGGGGATGACGAGTTCTAAGCCAGCCTGAGAAACTAGAGCCCACCTCAAAACCAAATACCCATGGGTCAGGAAGGAGTTCAGGGGTAGAGGGTGCCACACATGTGCACATCCCCAGAGCCCCGTCCCCAGAACCACGAACACCACAAGAGTAACAGCACGCAGGCTTCTCAAATGGTACAGTCTATTTACTAGGACAGAAAGAAGGCTCTTGCCACAAAATAAGTCGTACATTACACACTAATACACATACACTAACACTTTTACTAACACACACCACA